GCAGCGAGGGGCTCCAGCTGTACCATCTCTCAGCTAAAAAACAAAATTAGGGAAAGGAAGAAAAGCTGGAACCTGCCCGTATCCGTCCCCGAGGCTTCCTTTCCCTTCAGATGCTACTGTTGCCAGGTACAGCACCAACCCATGCTGGCTTTTTCTTCCCCATGGACAAGCCACAACACTTCCTGCCATGTTTGACCCTTGGTCTCACACACGGATGCCCGCACGGTGTGGTCGTGCACACCTGTTGCATCCTGAAGTAAATAGATCAGGTGCCAAGAGCTCGTGCCCCAGTGCTTTTCCAGGTGTTTCAGGCATCGGTCCAATGCTTAGACAGAGCGCATGTTAGCTGCCCTGACTGCTGCTTCCATTTCCAAATACAGATATACTTCAGTGCAATAGTAGCAGGACAGTTCAGGTCTGGCACCTGCATCCTGGCAACTGTTGGTTACAAGCCCCAAAACAGACGAGGGAAGCAGCAGCTCTGCAGAAAAGGACCTGTGGGTTACAGTGGACAATAAGCTGAATTTGACCCAACAGTGTGCCTGCCCTTGTTGCAAAGAAAGCTAGTGGCATACTAGGCTGCATTGGTAGGTGTCTTGCCAGAAGATCAAAGGAAGTGATTCTTCCCCTCTGTTCAGCACTGGTGAGGCCACATCTGGAGGACTGTGTTCAGTTTTGGGCCCCCCACTACAGAAAGGATGTGGAAAAATTGGACAGAGTCCAGCAGAGGGCAACAAAAATGGGGAGGGGGCTGGGGCACATCACTTATGAAGAGAGGCTGAGGGAACTGGGCTTATTTAGTCTAGCAAAGAGGAGACTGAGCAGAGATTTGATAGCAGCCTTCAACTACCTGAAGGGGGTTCGAAAGAGGATGGAGTTAGACTGTTCTCAGTGGTGGCAGATGGCAGAATAAGGAGCAATGCTCTCAAGTTGCAGCAAGGGAAGTTTAGGTTTGATATCAAAAAATCTCCCTTGATGAAGATAGTAAAACACTGGAACAGGTTAGCCAGAAAGATTGTGGATTATCTATCCTTGGAGGTTTTTAGGACCCAGCTAGGTTAAGCTTTGGCTGGGATGATATATTGGGAATGGTCCTGCTTTGAGGAGAGGTTGGACTAGATGACCTCCTGAGGTCCCTTCCAATCCTAATTTTGTATGATTCTTAAAACTCAAGGAAAGAAACAATAAATGTTTCTCTACAATTATATCCCCCCAAAATGTGGAGCCCTGCACAGCCTAATCCAAGATAGTTACAAAACTTTATTTTACCAGCCATATCATGTTGGGTCCTGCTAATTTTGGCTGTATGCACTCCTGTTTATGATTTATATATGTAACTTTTCCCTAGCCCACCTGAAAAAACAGACACTTCAAACACTCTCATGCCAAGACAAATATAGTGCAATATGACATCCCTTACATAGCCTTTATAGTAGTAGTATAATTAGGGGTTGAAACACAAAAAATAACAGGACTCAGGTTTTTCAAACCCCAAAACTTTCTTCTGCAAAAGGTACAATAATTCTATAGCCATGAGATGAAGAAGGATGCCAACAGTGAGAACAGGCTGCATAGCTACCATGTACACAGGAGAAGATCAGATCTATCATTAGATGCAGATTCTAGATCTCACATGAATCCAAAAATGCGTTTTTGTCCTGAATGAAGAGACTTCAGATTTCCACTGATGTCAGTCTGACTTGCAACTATACTTTCTGCATGAGGTATGTGTATGGATGGTCCAGGATTTAGGAAAGGGGCAGCAACCTGTATTACAGGGGTGGCTGTACCCTGACTCCCAGCCTCACTTCCTGCCTCAGGGTGGGCAGATTGTGCCATAGAAGCATCAGAAGGGGACTTTAAATAAAAAGTCCCATAAGCAGGTAAGAATCTTCCCTCCCCACTCCTTTTCCCTCCATGCCCAGCGGCACATTCCCTTTTCTTTCTTCCCATCTCCCACCTCCTTCCTCCTGCTCTGCTCCAGGGAGGCTAAGCATGGAGCCAGACTGGCTAGACACAGCAGCGACAGCAGACAAGTTCCCTTCACTGTGCCTGGTACTGGTCTGGCAGAGAACACTGGGAAGGACCAGGTGGAGGGGAGAAGAGGGGAGAGGAGAGAGCAGGAAGGATGAAATTCTTACTTGTTTTGGGGACTAAAAATAAAGTGCCCATCTGCTGTTCCCACAGAGTGGTTGACAGAAAGGGAGCTGCATCTGGGAACCAGGGTGCAGCCATCCTTGCAGTACAGGTTGCTGCCCCTTTCCTAAATCCTGGATCCATCCATGCACATTCACTGCACCCCTCCTGGGTACACAAATGTAAGAGAGACAAATGCAAAGAGAAATAATATGCAGTTAAGAGATAGGATCTTAGAGCCTCACCTTAGAACAGCACCTGCTTCAGATATATTCATACTTCTCCTAATGCATGATATCTCACTTTCCCAAAAGATAGCTTTATTGCAGGCAAAAGCTAAACTGTCCCATTTTCATTTCTGCTGTTTGAAAAGGTAGGTGGTATCTGTTATCATTTAAAATCTAGGCACATTATAAAAGCTTCTCAGATACTATATTTCTGTAGGAGGATTTAAAGTACCCACATGGACAGTATTTCTGTTATAACAGTATGTCATATTATTATAAACTTTAAAGTGTCCTTTGGGGCAGTTATTTCCCTGCATAAAAATCCTGTGGTGATAAGATGACAATTGGATAATGTTGTATTTATGCAATCATTTCATCCATGCATTTATCCAGGCACTTATTATGTGCAGTTGAATATGGTGCATGTCATATCAGGATTGTGCTCATGTGGCACAAATGAGGTTTCTGCAAACATCTTGCTCTATATAACATTTCCAATTCAATCGGAAGTGTCAGAAAAAGAGGGGGAGAGAGACTTTGTAGAAAGTGTCAGAGATTCCTTGATGTGACAGCTGTTAGAGACAGGGATATAAACTAAAGTCCAGACATGCTGAGTGCATGCTTTCTAATCTGCAGATTGCAGGGAGTTAAAGAGATGGGCAAGACCTCAGAGCCAATAATACTGGACCTGATTGAGTTCTCAGTTTTGCACCTTTTATACTGAAAATAGGAATGAGTTATAATATTGTAATAATCATATTTTAGAAATGAAAGCATGCACTCTTAGTTCAAGTGCTCAGTTCAGTTTATTTGTACAAGACTGCTGCATCATCCTTATGTGCTGCTCCAGGCATTTACATTTTCTATGGGATAATTCACATGAATTTAAGCACCTGCTTACAACATTGAATAATCATTTCATTCATTTACATGCATATATATATATATATATATATATAAATTTTATATATATATATATAAAATGGTTTACTATTTAGATTGGGTATATTTGAATTTTATTGTGCTTTATTATGCTTAATGCTTATTAAAAACCTGGCATATACACCTTTACACCTAATGCCCAGCACCCAAAATGCAATTAGCTATACACAATATTCTTCCATTATAAACATTATTATTTATTATTATTATCATTATATCATTATTAACATTATATCATTATTAACATTATCATTATTAACATTATATCATTATTATTTACTTATGAAAATAAAATTATGGAACTTCTGCATAGAAGTTCCATAAATCTTATATAATTTCACTTGTTGGAAGGATGAACATATATTAAAAAAAATAATTTGCTTCTCTGTTCTACAAAAATTGGTTATACTGAGAAGAACTGGATGACAGTACAGGATGTGAGAAAAATTATCATGTGGGGTATATTTTCATTTATTCTAGAGTCTTTTATATCACTGTGGCTGTGTAAACAAATCTTAAAACAGGCAAATTGTAACTTATTCTCATTTTGGTTCCACTGACAGTGTTAAAGTACTGTAAAGAGGCTTTAGCGTAAATAAGGAGAAGGCCTGTAATATTTAGGCCTCTGATTTTAATTCATGTCAGATAAGTAGTGAATAAAAATAAAAATACATAGCAATTCCATGGTTGCTTAGCAGCATATGAAAAATGTGTTGGCCTACTTCCTAAGAGACAGCTCTCCTCATCACAAACTTCACTGTCATGTAACGGGCAAAGTGTCAGTTGGCAGTTTCAGGAGAACAGACGGAAAAGTGAGTAGTAATAGAAATAGCTTTACTTTCTCACTCTAAGAGGGGTTTCCTTTTGGAGCACATTTAGTTGGGTTAGTGTGAGTTATAAAATAGTTCAGTTTGTACTGTACTTACTTTACAGGTAGAGAGAGAAATATGATCTCATAGACTGTTAACAAACCTGTCACTTTCCATCAGTTCTGCATTATTTGGCTTTTAGTTTGCTGAAATCATCACTTTTCATTAGTCTGTCACTGGAGCATGTTGATGAAGTTTTGCAGAAGCAAAAATATCCCAGAAGAGAACCCTAGCAACTCTTAAGTGCTCGTGGTGATATGATGACACAAGTTTTTAAGCAGGAACCATTGATTTTATTTCAAGCACAGTTAAAATTGGCCCTCTCCTTCTAAGAGGTGGAATAGATGAGCACCTGTATCCTGTTCCCTCTTTTGCACATACCTAGCACAATCCACCCCCTTCATATATTTCTAATACTATTATTCCTAGTATGGGAAGCTGAGCCAAGCAGAACTTATACAGGAAAAAGGAGTATATTGTTTTGCCATTGATTTTATTCTTTTTTTAATTACATAGTGAGATATCCTTTCTGCTGAGTAGGTAGCTCAGTCTCCAGCAAAGCCAAAATCTGTGATGTTCTTGTGATCTGCAAGGCCTTCTAGGTCAATATATTTTGGTAGGATCAAGATCTTAAAGTATTGGTTTATAGCACAGAAGTATTCTGATGACATATTATAAAATTACTTGGCACATGTCTTTTTCTTAAACTATTTAGAGGGTTTGAAGCATTGTTTATTTCTGTTTTAGTTATACTTGAAATCGAGGGAAAATCTCTTTCCACCAGGGGAAATTTTGCTAATTATGACACTGGTGGGTGTTGATTACCCCACCTTTCAAGGAAGTAGGAGAACCTGTCCACTAATTCTGGGCACTAATTCTCCCCTCATGAGAGTAAATTTAAGTGTCTCACAGGGTGCATCTACATGAGATCCTACGGTGATGTCGCTTGTTGCTACAATGATGTAGCACTGGAAGGCATGAACTGTGATGCCATTGCTACCATGCAGCATGGTCAGAAATGACCCATGCATCACTGGGACTGCACAGTAATGGTGGTTACTATGTAAATACTAAATGACTGTGCAGTAACAACTATGCAGTCAGGTGCATATGTAGATGCACCCACAGTCTATTAAAAGAGTTTATCCTTACAACATCACTCTGAGGAAGGAATATTATCTTTATATTACAGAAGAGGAAATGAGGCACAGGATAATTTAAGTAAGTGGCCCAAGGTCATACAAAACTCTCTAGCTAAGCAAAGAGCACAACCCAGATCTTTGTGGTCTTGCACTAGTAAATCATCTTCCCTAGTTGCAAGACTCTTTTGGGGTCAGCACAAAGAAGGAATCTGTGGAGATGCTCTAATAGAGCCAGTCCTTCATTCTGTCCAGGCTGGTAGAGGATGATGGTAAAGGACTTTTCCTAACTTGCTTATTCCTTTCCACTTCCCAAATCTTCCCCTAGCACATTTCATGTGGAAGGCTTGGAGATACAGTAGCCTAAGAAAGGGAATCTGTTCCCCAGAGAAGGGGGATGGTGTGCTGAGGAGACTTAAGGTTTGCCTGGAAGAGGATGCTGCTCAGGAAGATCTAGAAAGCTGGAGCCTGATAAAAAGGTAAAAAGGAATGATTTCTCCTCAGGGTCCAGAGGGAACTTTGGGTCAAGGAGGGCTGATGAAGCATGTTTCCTTCCCAGCCAGTGAGCAAGTCCTGGTAGGAGATATCTGCATTAATAGACAGGATCAGAAAGTCCAGTGGACTCAGCAGACTGGAAAAGGCAGCCAATTTAAGGTCTTGGTATTATATTTCTATTTTACAAGAGAGGAAGAGTACTTCAAAAATGCCAGTTGTGCTGGCTTGTTTCCATGCACAAGAAAGTGACAGAGAAAGAACAAAAGTGCAAAAGTCTAAGACCCAGTTACACTCTCCAACTTCTCTCTCCTGTCTGACACATCTGTAGTATGATATGAGCCATGTCCTATCATCTGTTCTGTTTTTTTGTTTTATTTTGTTTTTTGAGAGGCAAAACTCTGATTCCAAATCAGTAGAAAAGTTATTGCATTGGTTTTTTCTGGAGAGTAGCTATGAAGAGGCATTCTATGCCTGAAAAGCCTGGACCTAATGACACATGGCTTTGTATCAGGCACCTTCTCTCTGCATGCTTTTACTTCCTTTCCATTTAGATTAATCCCTAATCATCATTCAGACTTCTGACTGGAATGACCTGCACATGACTGAGGCTGTTTATGCATCTATATTGTGGCTACATTACTGCTGCTTTTGCAAGATATGTAATGCATTGCAATTGGTGGGGTGGGGGCACAGGGGGAGGAAGGGGAGGGAAGAGGGGGAAGGGGCATAGGCAAATTAAGCCAGAATAAGGTAAGAATCCTAGCACCAGCTACACCACAAAGGTCTCAGTAACATTATGCAAATGGATTGTTTCATTTGCATTTTGCTGAACTCTGTGATAAAATGGACATTTGGAAAGTTCTCAAATGACATTTATCTTGATTTTTAACAAGCAGAGACATGATTCATTTATTGTGATGACCTGAAATGAATTCTTATCATGCTGACATGAAATAAAAGTGGAGATGACTCTCAGCTCTAACCCATTTATTCAGTGTAATGCCCAGAAATAAACAAACCTGGTCATCTTTTTAGTTTAATATATTAACCTTGGGTGTTCCAAAGAAAGTGAAAATAAGATAACATGAATACTAGGGCAGTATGAAATTTCTCCATCCTTTTCGTTTTGGCACTATTTTGACTCATTTCGAGGTTGAAACAGCAAAATCAAAATGAAAAAAAAGGACTTCAAAACAGCCTCGAAACAATACGAGGCTAATAGAAATGTTTCGAAAGTCAAAACATTTCGACCATAGCACTGGGGATGGGAAGTTAGCCCAGCTGAGCTGACTACCTGTCCCTGGCTGACCTAGTGAAACGTTGAAACAGAATCCAAACAGCCTCACTGTTTCAACGAAGCAAAACGGAACAGCTGTTTTGAATCAAAATGAAATTCAATATGAAATGATGTTCTGTCAAAACCTCAAAACTCAAGGAGAAATGGAATGGTGCTGTTTTGCACAGCCCTAATGAAATACTTCTTTGCTGTATACATAATGTAGAAAGAATTTCTGTGGGATTTTGAATTGAAACACTGCTTGAAAGGGATGATTTACATGATGCCCTGCTATTCCTACCCACTTGATGCCCTGCTATTCCCTGCCCACTTGATGCCCTGCTATTCTTAAGTTCTGTGGCCTTCACCTTGTGGGATGTTTGATATCCCACAAAAGGCCATTATGTCAAAGTTTAATTAAACTCTTCCAATCTGAATGCAGAATAGAGCTTTTCTTATTGTACATGCTGTAATAAAGGATTTTGAAACCTAAAATGCCATAATGTAAGTGTCTAATGGAGTCTTAATAAATTCAAAACCTACCATAAGTTTTTGGAATCTAATAATGCATGCAGGTAATAAAGGTTGAATTGCATTAACAGTAATGGCATTAATTCAACAGTGCACTTCAGCATATGCTTAAAATTCAGCATATGCTTAAATGTTTTGCTGAATAAGGATGAAGTTGCAAAAACAAATGTTTAGAGACAAGCATGAGCTTGTGGGCTCTGTTTAAATGGGCCAGTATGTATTTTATGGTTTATTTTTTTATTTTGTGTTGTTCATATACACATTAGCCATGTAAGGCTTCCATTTACATATGTAAGGCTCTTGCCTAAATGAGGATTTTGGTTTTGATTCTACACATATGCAATGGCTTAGGGAATAGAATTACTGCCTTGACTCAGAAATTCTCAGCACTCCAACTGCATCTTAGACTAGGTATTAATTTCTGGAAGTTTAAGATAGGACATTCATGGGCTGTGGGAGGCTGGGGCTATTGGAGATACACAAGTGTGGGTGAGAGACCTTTGAAAAACTCCTCTCAAATCTGTGGGCCTGCTTCATAATAACATTAGGGCTCCAGAGTTTGAGAGGTAGGGTGATAGGTCTGGAAAAGTGGTCTTAAAAGGCTATATTGTGTCTTGAGCCCATAGTAGAGGGTTTTTGTTGCTACAGGAGTAGTGAGGAGAAAGAAAATTGGCTCTTGCAAATCTCTTTTACCTGTAGTTTTTGGTTTCAGGTAGGGATACTAGTATACTATTGTCCCTGATGCATCATGGCAAAAGGAGCAAAACCAAGGGGCTAATCATTCTCTTTCCATGCAGGAAAGTATATGACAGTACAGATCCCTTAATCCCTTTGCACCATGATCCAAGGTCCAGGTAGCTTTTGAACAGGATCCAGATTGGTCAGTTCTTACCTTTCTCACCTGTGAAATTCCACAGTCCAGATGAGAAATTCTTTCTACTGAATCAGACAAGTTGTCTTATGCATAGGTCATCCAGAAATGGAAGATGTGGGCCCTTTATCCTGTTTTTTGACATGCTAATTGTTTAGATGGAGAAATTTTAAACTGGATTTTTTTTGTGGTATTATAACTTTATAGAAAAATAAGGATGGAAAGGAGTTTGATTTTTGTACCACAACAGCAGGGTACAGCAAAAGCAAGGCAAAAAAAGCACATTAAAATAGGAACTGGTCAAACTTCTATTTTTCCCACCCTTAAGCCCTATAACTTGGGGCAAGAGATGGAAATTAACAGCTAACAAAAGAGCCTTTCCTTCAACTGTGTGTGCCTACGTCAGTCTTCTGCCTTGCCAAACTGAAAGTAATAATTTCTCTGTGAGCCACACAGAATACAGAATACTGAAAAAAATAAAAGGGAGACTGAAATGGGAAGCTCAGAGGGCACAAAGGTGGAAGAACAATTTGTTAGGAGGCCTGAAAATACAGCTTTTCTTGGACTGCTGCAGCAAAACATTAACCCTGGTAATACATGGCTGCTTTAAAGATGTATAAATCCAATCCAGCAGCTACTGCAGCCAATAAGAACATTTTTGTTGACTATTATATAAGTTGGTTTTGATCCTGTATACATACAGTGGTTCCCATTAAAAATAATATTTACTAAATGTTTCCTCAAAGTGGTGGCTAGGACACTGAAGGAACCCCGGGGCAGCAAGGAGTCATACTTACCTCCTGCAGAGCCGGAACAGCCGGGGGAGGCGCGTACGCCGAGGACACCGGCGCGGGTGATCAGCCGGGCATTTATCCGGCTGCGGCAGAGCAGCAGGGGCGGAGGACGCCTCCCGGAAGAAACAAAAAGCGGCCCCGCCGAGGCAGCGGGGCAGCTGATGAGGACAGACCAGGGGAGTGAGCTCCTGTGGGGAGCAGATCAGCTGCTGCAGCCAGCTGTAGTGAGTGCAAGGGGCGGAGCCAGAGTGGGCTCTGAGAAAGCCAGCAGCACAACCGGCAGCCGTGCTGGCGGTGGAACCGGCTCCAACACTGTCGGCAGAGCCGGTGAAGGAGTTGGCTGCGTTATAGGCGGCAGAGCCGGTGGAGGAGTCGGTGGCGTCGGGAGCAGCACAGTCGGGGAAGAAATTGACGCTGCAGGCAGCCGAGCCAGGGGAGGAACCAGCAGCGTCTGGAGCAGCAGAGCCAGGGAGGGAACTGGCTGCATCGGGGGCAGTGGGGCCGGAGAGAGAACCGGTGGCATCCTGAGCAGCAGGGCCGGTGGAGGAGCCGGCTACGCTGTGGGCAGAAGGGCCAGTGAGGGAGCTGGCCGCATTCCAGGCAGCCGAGCCGGTGAAGGAACTGGCCGCTCTGTAAGCAGCAGAGCTGGGGAAGAAACCAGCAGCCGGATTAAAGAAGGAGCTGAGGCAGAAGGCCGGGGCTGGCGACCCCAGTGGACGGCCCATTGAGCCGAGGACCTTGACGGCCGGCCGGCAGGGTGGGGGTAGGACAGAGGCAGGCCTAGGACACCGTGGAAGCCAAGAAGAGGCAGAGCTACAGGTGGCGAGTAGCCGGGGTGAATGGGAGGACGGAGCCCCAAGACTACCCACGGAGGACCGCGCCAACTCTAGGAGCTACCCCAAGGAAGGACCCCCCACTGAAGTTACATTCAAAGTTGTGGCAGGGGGGGTCAGGGGGGCGCCCTCAAAGTTGTGGCAGGCGAGTTCAGGGGTCCTCCTGACTTCAGCAGGGGTAGCCTCCGGGGTCCACCTGTAAGCCCGGGGCCCGCAAGATCTAGGGCTCGGGCAAAGGCGGCGCGGGAACACCTACTAGAGCGGAGGCGGGTACACAGCACAAACTGACTAGACTAGTAAATATTGAAATGTCCCACTTAGTAAACTGAGGTCACTTTTGGTCAATGTTATGTTTTATAAGGATGGAAATGCTATATGAATATATATACTAACTGTTATATTAAAACTGAAGTGTCTTCTTTCTTCCCTAACCACTAAAATGGTAGGGGAACAGTGAAATGCCAGAGTGTCCAAAACATCCTCTATTAGAAAAAAACCTGTTACTGGGTCCTACTTGTCTGGTGTTCTGGACTGTAGATTGCAGTTAGGAGTAAAATCAGCTCTTGACATATAGACTTCACTAATTTTAATAAGATCACCTCATACCTGTCTGACAGGAGAATAGAGCCATGTGAGCAACTTTTCCCCTTACTTGTTCAGGTGTTGATAGTAATGAAGTTAGGGAGAGTATCACTATTCTACAAGTAGGGTTAGAATAGTGGCCAACATATACTGAGACAAAGCCCTGAAACTGCATCTACATGTGAGTGTTAAGGAACTGAGTTCTCATTATCGGGTGAGTTCTCATTAATGAGGCACAGAAGGGAATTGGTGAGGTTTTATTCACCAAGGCGCCCCCGGGGGTTACAAGAAATAATGGCCACAAGCTAGCAGAGAGCAGATTTAGACTAGACATTAGGAAGAACTTCTTCGCAGTTAGTGGCCAAGGTCTGGAATGGGCTCCCAAGGGAGGTGGTGCTCTTCCCTACCCTGAGGGTCTTCAAGAGGAGGTTAGATAGGCATCTAGCTGGGGTCATCTAGACCCAGCCCTCTTCCCTGCCTATGCAGGGGGTTGGACTCGATGATCTATTGAGGTCCCTTCCGACCCTAGCATCTATGAATCTGTCTTATGACCTATATTTATACACTGAGGAACTACAAGTTATACTCCTTAGGTGAATACTACATTGATGGATTTATTATCTGCAGTGTTAACCTGAGGTGTGGAAAGAAAAGTGAAACTCAGCAAAAAAGTGTTGAACAAACATTGAAATAGCATTTGTTCCAAGACTAAAATATTGAGGAGACAAGAAGGATTACAAGCAATGGGCTCTAAATTGCACCCATCTGGCAGCAATTAATGCAGAAAATCACATACCCGGTTCTAACTGGTAAAACAGTGGGTATTAACTTGCAGGAAATGACTGATTTTGTAATAAAAGAATCTAACAACCAAAGAAAGGAGAGAGGATCCTTGTCACTTAGCTTCCATTTATTCCATTAATCCTCAAACATCTAGAACAGACACTTGCAAAACTGAGCTTTGATTTTGGGTTGTAAAACCCAGTGCCCAAAGTATAAGGATTTGATACGGGCCCAATTCTAAACTTGGCATTATACAGAACTTGGCAATACTGCATGTTACTGCACACATGCTCCTTTGTATGCAAAGGCTAGTAAGCAAACTGTAAAGTGTAATGATTGGATTGTAAAATAAATATTTTAATAACCCCAAAAGGAGCTCACTCATTTTTCCCCAGAAGTTTTCTGAATACTTTAGTCTTTGATTGCTGGGTTTTTGGTTGTAGTTTTTGGTTGCAGTCTAAGGACATAGGCACACAAGGTTCTTCGGGTAGATGTAATATCTTTTAGTAGACCAACTGAGTAGCTGGAAAAAGTTTTTTGCAAGCTTTCAGGTGCAATCATCCTTCTTCAGTGTAGGGAGTCTCCACTGTTCTGAGACTCCAGTCTTTGATAGAATATAGCTAGTGATCTTCATCATACAAGGCTAGAATCCCATACTTAGAAGCCAAAGCAGCTGAGATAGGGTCCCTTTAAGATTCTCAGCACACCTACCTCTAGCTCAGCCCTGTGACCTATATTAGGGGTGCATCAAAAAACCCCCAATCAGTTACAGAGAGGTCAGAATTCTCAAGGCAGGAGCACTGTGTGTGACTTTCTGAGCATGACTACTAGAATTAGAGGGTATTCTGGAGGTATAGTAATTGTTAAGAGACTGTTCGTGGAGATTTTGATTGAGGAAGAGATTGATAAGCCTTGTAGCAAATATGGCTAAGGTTAAAGGGGGGTTGCTTGAGACCTGTGTTGGCAATATTTCTTCAAACCTTTGTTGTCCACACAATTTAATAAGGAAAAGATCTAGTTCTTACATCAAGATTGCCAATGAAAATATTAAACACGATTGCTCCCGAAGAGCATCCCTAGAAATCTCTCTCCACGTGGATAATTCCTCTCTGTTTAATCCATTGCAGTGTCCTTTCAGCCAATTCCTTTAATTGTTCTACAATTATTCCATTGATTCTCCGCTTCTCTAGTTTTGCCACTGTGCCTCACAGGAAGTTATTGACTTGGTCAAATCTAGATTAGGTCAGCTGCACTGCTGTTGTTTAAGGAGGGGAGAGTAACTGTAATATCAACTGGCAATTTAGGGCTTATCTACATTACAAACCTTCTGTCAGCAGGCCACCACCACTGGGAAGCTGCCAGAGTGCTTTCACAGTAGCACAACATCTGGCAGCAACACTATAGCAGCTGTGCCTGTAGAGTACAAAGTGCATCCTGAGGAGCGCTAGATGTTAATAAGGTTGCAGTGCCAAAAGAAAGCATAGGCAAATCAAAATGCCCTTTCTGGGGACTTCATAGTTGTCTTCCATCATGTGCAGAGTAGATGATGATGAGAGAGTTTTACCATGAGAACTCAGATTTTCTTTCAACAAAACAGAGTGCATCCATATTCCTAGCCCTCGTGACAGCAGAACTATGTAGGCTAGACCAGGCCTTAATCAGGAGGGCTCTAAACTAGGTTTGAAAGGGGCAGAAGATTTTACTTGCCATTGGACTTATAATGACCTAGTTATAGAGCTGCAATAGGGAGAAATAATGGCAGTGGCTGATAACCATAAGTGAAGCAAGAGTGATGATTAATATCAAATAGACTTCATGGGACCAATTAAGATTGGACTAGAAGGATATAATTCCCTCAGGAGGCACAAACAGAGGTAAAAAGATGGGATGGTCATGGGTAGCATTAATTCTTGAAAAGCGAAAAGAGACTGGCTCGTTTCTGGATTAAGATAAAAGGAAAAGAAGAGGGATGTGGTAGTGGTCTATTATAAACCACATGATTAGAGGGAGGATATAGACAAAATTTATTGAGCACCTATCAGAAGTAGCTGAAGGATGACTTGGTGGTAATGTATGACTTAGTAACTTGATATTGATTGGCAGAGGGAACACAGTTCCTCAAGTTCTTGCAATAAGTTAAAAATCACTTCCTTCTGGAAGGTACTCATGGAAGCTGTTGGGGAGCAGCTGGTTTAGATTTGGTTTTAATGGGTAAGAATTAGTTGAAAAGCTAAAATTAGAAGGCAATTTGGGTGAAAGTGATGATGGAATGATCAAGTTCACTATTAGAAAAAAAGGTAGGTGAGCAGCCAAAGAAGGATAATGGGTTTGGGAAAAGCATGATGCAATAAATTTGAAGTGGTAGGAAAGGTCTCTTGGTCTCAGGGGTAAAGGGATGCACAAGAGCAAAGTAATGACAAGTTATCTCACTGCAAAGGTAAGATAGGAAGCATCTATCTATCTATCTAGTATGCGTAAGTGGGGGATGAGGGGGGATTATTTGCTTGTTGAGGGGGGGCACAAGGACATATAACTAAGAATGAGTGTACAAGAGCTGAAAGGGCCTTCAGGAGGCCATCTTGTCCAACCCCCAGCTCACGGTAGTATTGTCTACCTACTTTTTCTACTTTACCCACTAGGGGAAGAAAAGAAGAAATCTGCTAATTTTCAGCAAACAAGTTTTGAGTTGGTTATTGAGTTGAGTTGGCTATTAGATACTTTGTTTTTGCATCTTTTTCATTACGAAAAGTATGTGTGAGAGAGATTTAGGCATATGCCCCTCAGGACAGGATGGTCTGCAAGCCCCCTCATTTCATGGTTCTATAATACAGCCTAATTTTTAGCATCTGTCAAATGTAAGTGGCATTTCCTGCGTTATAAAATAAAAACAGACTAGTTAAATATTTTATTACATTAGTCCATTATGAAGCAAATAGAGCTGCACCATTTTATGGCACCTGAGGATTTGTCCATTCTCATGGGCCATTACAAAATGTGTTTTGTAACCTATATTTTAGTTGCAGAGTATCTTTGTAGCTTTTACCTGACTTACCACATCTTATCAGCCTCTCTATCCATTCTTTAGCTACCTGTCAGAACTGAGGTCCTTATGGGAAAGCCACTACCCCTAGGAGGTTATATATTCAGCTTATTTATAGTTTCCTTAATGTTGATGTGCAGGTGCTGAGGGATTACAGGGGCTGTCAAAAATGGCTTTTTGTTTAAAGCAAGGTATCCTTTTTTTGTTTTGTTTTGGTTACGTCTATTTTAGCATTGTTTCAGATAATGGAAGTTTCTTCCTTCTGGGTACTAATTTAGAATCAACATGAATTTGATCCCATGAGCTGCATCTAGTCCCCAGTGCTGCCCCTGGGTCTGAGTTAACCCACACCCCACCAGACTGGTCCTGCGTGCAGTGCCTGGGATGTGTGGCACATATGGTGTCCATTCCAGGATCTGTGCTACATGTTGTGCCTTTTACTTCCACCTCTCCCAGCTCATCCGGGTCTGTATCGCATAGTGCCTGCTCC